AGAGAGAGAGAGAGAGAGAGAGAGAGAGAGAGAGAGAGAGAGAGAGAGAGAGAGACGAGGTGTAGGGTGCAGGGAAACCCACTGGTTGATGGGCCAAGCCCTGGAACAAGCACGTTGCACAAGTGGGAGTTCAAAGATCATCTATTTCGCGGTTGGCAGGCAGCTGTTAGGAGTTCACATTTCAGAGACAACATTTGCTTCTGGAAGGAGGTCGAAAACCAATAGTGACCTTATATTGCTCCCTGCTTCTTTCTTCATTTGTTTCGCAACGCGCTCTTTGTTCATAGAAATGTGACAATATATGAATAGCATTAGGAGCTGTGGTCCATGAGTTCTTTGAACTTCTTTCCCATTTGCCAAATTTGAAGATGCATTGCCGTAGTAGATATCCAGGGCACGAACAAGCTGCGCACGTAGAATATGTTACGGCGAGTGGCTGAATTGATACAGCCCTCTGTGGCCAAGGAATGCAATAGGGAGAAGGCTAGATGAGGTGTGAGCACAGACAGGGAGAGAGGGAGTGAGGGAGGGAGGGAGGAAGGCAAAGGGATCGGGAAAGGGAGGAAGATGAGAGCGAGGCAAAAAAATGGGAGTCCCGCTTTGTCATCCGATTAGGTGAAGCCAGCAAGTCCATACAAAATACCAGTGAGGGTGGACTTCCACGATAGCCATGTGATCCAACGAGGCCCACCGAGGTTAGCACAGCAGTTCAATGAGCCAGGCCGGTTCTCGACCTCGCAGTTGAGCAAATGCTCAAGAAGTCTGGAAGCCCCCTCCACTGCGAATCGGTCTTGTATGGGAAGGGGCAGCCTTTTGTATGCAAGCCCATCCAGCTGGCCTTCAGCCTTCAGGCCCTTTCCAAAACTGGTAAGTGCCCACAAGAATGTTACTCTCTATTTCGGCAAGGGGAGACATGTTAACCAGAAGACCTTTCCAAAACTGGTAAGTGCCCACACGGTGTTGATTTTGAGGATGGCCTTTACAAGGGCTCGCTCACTCACACTTGTACCTGTCCTCCAAATCTTTTTCCATGACATATGCAAATATTTGAGCACTCAGGTGCACACGTTTCGGCACAGAAGCGTCGTCTCATTAGACTAGCTTCCCCTAGCCTGCAGCAACAGCCAGAGTCGCAAAATAAAACGACCTCCTGAGGCGATTGTTTCCTGTGGTTTTTCACATTGTACGCCTCCCAGCGACAAACTGCAAAGAAGGGAGAGCCTGCATGTGCTTACAAGGGATTTATAAAACCCTCTCATCCAACCTTCCCCACAGTTTGAGAGTTACAAATTGGAGTATGTGTGTCTTTCAGGACATCCGTTATGATTGGAACGATACAGAAACTGAAGATTAGCATGGCCCCTGCGCAAGGATGCACGCATAAGTCGAGAAATGATACAAAGATTTTGGTGGGGGAAAAAGAAATGCGAGTATGCGTCTCTTTTCCAGAGTCAGTCTTTTCAGAAACTTTTCCCAGTTTTGGGAAGCACAAGTATTAGTGCGGCCTAAGAAAAATGCGCAATCCTTTCACCCCAGCTTTTTTCCAACAACCCATATAGAGCAAACACCAAAACCAAGCAGGGCAAACCAAAGGCCAAAAGACTTTTGAAACAGAACCCTCAGAACACAGCAACAAGGGGGGTTCTGTTAAACCAGCAGTACTTCCCAGAGGTGTGCAAGTTAACATGCTGGGATGCACAGGCCTGCCACACAACGACAAATTCATTCACAATGAGTCATTGATGACCCTAATTTCAGACGTCAGCATAGCTGGGAAAAGTACTGGTGGTATAACCAGGAGTGTGCATGGGCTGGTCCCATTAGGATCTTCGATGAGCCTAGGCTGTGTATGCTGTCAGATTTGCAGTTAAAGTCTTAAAGATGCAAATGGGAACCTGCGCACCGCAAATCCTTGGTATTCGCAGGAAAGACGGCCAAGTGCAAAATTTGCACAGATGTTGTGCAAGGGCAAACTTCTTTTTCCCTTTTTTTTTTTTTTTAACCATGTCCTTATGGGCCCGCGTCCATGAGCATCAGTGCGTTTCCTTTTTTTTTTTTTTGGGNAACAAAAGCAAGGCTCCTTTCCATTGATTTTTTTTTGGGAACAAAAGCAAGGCTCCTTTCTATTGATGGGGAGCTACACCTACTGGAAAGCGGGTCCAGCGTCCCAAAACCACCATGTTGAAAATTTTAACCCGCGCTTCCCCTCATTACAACCAGGGAAGCCCTGACAGCATTGATTACTTCCTTGCGGAGGATTGACTCTCAGTCGGGCCCAGTCCGCACAGCAATACCCCTTTCCCTGTCCTAGGTAAACCCATACAAGAAACATACTGCAATCCAAAGAGATGAGCCCTCTCAGACCCTGTGGGCAACTTTTCTGAAGAAGGGTGTTTGCTAGCAGGCTACTGTGACAAGTGACACCTTCCCCGCATCTATCGACACTTAAAGCACCAGTACACCACACATCGGCCCGCGGGTGTCAGCATGAAACCCGCACCACTTGTGAGGCCGCCGATTTTTTTTTTCAACGGCACCCCACGTCGAGCGGCCCCTCTCGAGTTTTCTTGTCGCAACAAAAACTTTCTGCAAGGCTGGGGCCGTGTACTTGTGGTTTAAATCCAGATTCCAGACATAAAGGTCAT